GTATCGAATTACAAATAAAGTCCAAATGATAAAATTGAGAAAATACTGAAATAAACATTTATGTTGAAAATTTCAACATATGAAATACATACAGTCAATTTCAAAATAAACGATCAGTTACCGCGTAGAGATAGAAGTAGAAAAAGATATTTTATAAATTTCGTTCGTTCGAGGCACTTTTCTGGATTTAACTTCATTAGGGACACTCAAACCTAAAAATTAATGGCCAGGGATGTATAAATATGTTGAAACGTTAGGAGCTATATGACCAACAGTGACATAAAAAGAATAGCTAACTTCATCTTGTAGCTTCTTTTCCTGAGGGCGCTGGAACCGTTGTTTCTTAATAATGTCTTAATTTATCGACGGGAAGTTTTAAAATATATGTTAAAAATCATGTCGGTACCGAAGTTTCGACTACCGAGCTGATGATACCCTCGGCCACTAACAAGTCCTCCAGCAGTGGTATCGACCCAGTGCAAGTAAATGCTTTAAACTCTTTAGAAACGCTTTTCTGGACTTACCTTCACCGGGAATGCTCAGCCCTAAATATTTGAAAGCCAGGGGTGTATAAATAGATACAAACATTAGGCGTTAAATTACAAAAAAGGGACCTGAAAAGAATACCTAAATTCATTTCAAGTCTACTTTGCTCGAGGGAGTTAGATTTCCAAAACTTAGTTTGTTAATAACTAATTAATCTATCGACGGGGAAAAAAACATGTTAAAAATCATGTCAGTACCGAAGTATCGGCTACTGAGCTAAATAAATGATACCATAGCATCGGGGACTCACAGCCCTACAGCTCTTGTATCGATCCGGTGAAGTATAATACGACAATCATATCAAGCAAAATCGATGGTCTCCTATCGATGAACTGGACGTGGAATGATATTTCCTTAAGTTATGACTGATTGACTGGCTTTTTATACGCCCGTTTACGGGAAGTATTATGGTATACCGTTGTCCGTCCGTCCGTCGTCAACATGTCGGACAAGAACTCAAAAACCCTTTGAACAGTTTTCATGAAACTTTGGTGAACTGTTTATATCTATTGACGCGAGCTCCCTTTCGATTTTTATAAATTTTAGATTTTACGTTTCCGATTTATTGGGTTTTATTCATTAAAAAAGGGGGCTTTCCAGTTTTTGGACAATAACTCAAAATTACTTTGAGCAGTTTTCATGAAACTTTGGTGAATTGTTTATATCTATTGACATGAACTCCCTTTCGATTTTCATAAATTTTAGATTTTTCGTTTCCGAGTTATGGGGTTATATTCATTAAAAAAAATGGGATTTTCCAGTTTTTGGACAATAACTCAAAAGTGCGTTGAGCAGTTTTCACGAAACTTTGATGACTGGTTTATATCTATCAAAATACCCCCCCCCCCCTCCTTTTAGTTTTTTTTTATAAATTTCTGATATGACAATGAGGAGTTATGGTACTTTATTCTTTGAAAAAGCGACAGGCGTATCATGCGCTCATGGCGCAGCTCTTTATTATATCTTGCTATGCGGTAAGGGTTTTGCTCATTGTTGAAGGCCGTACGGTGACCAACAGTTGCAAACCTTCTACGTCATTTGGTCTCTGTTGGAGAGTTGTCTCATTGGCAATCATCTTTTTATTAATATAATGTTTGAATTATATGAAGGTCTAATCACAATAGGATGTACAACATGAAAAAAGAAAGAAGGAATTGAAAAAAAGAAAAAAGCAACTCCTTATCTTTGCATGCTGATTGCTAAATATGGATTAAAAAAATGGAACAAATATCTATTATTGGATGAATAACATTATATTATTCAATGACAATGTTATTTTATAAACCTGTTATAAAACCTTACATAATGATGATATGTATTTATTTTTGACTTATAGCCAACAGGATGTTTTGCTCTAAATGTGCTATTATAACCACATGCATGTTTCAAATGTACATTGTATGGTGTACATATCCGCAAACAACTACATAAAGCAATTTACGTTGCACTTCCAAGAAAGATGACTGATTTTTTTAAAGTTTTTTTGTACTTTTATCAAACACGACCAATATTGAAAGGTATGATAAGTTCTCCGATTTCAGGGACTTAATTTTGTTGATAGGTTTTAAGTTTGTGTATTTGATTGATTGATTGATTGATGTTTGTTTTACGCCGCATCAGCCCAAAAAAGCTACATATCTCGGCGATGGGGTATTTGATGCTGACGTCCGATTGGAAATAGTTAAAGCTTGAAGGAGACGTCCCTTTTACTGTTGCCATTTGGTATATCGAGACCAAAAGATCGTGAACAAATATGTGTAGAAGTATCGCGATAGGTCGGAAGGGATCTGGTATAGAATCTTGAACTCAATTTAAAACAATTCAACCTCCACATCTTAACCTAAAATCCGTTATATTATCATAAGACGGAACAGATCATTTTTTCAAATAACATGTCTATCTAAACAATCATTACTACTTAATAATACTGTCGATTCCCGGCTTGGTCTCACCAAAAATTCGAAAACTGTATGTCATTTCTTTTACGCTATATAAACACGCACCACTAAATAGAAAGAGTATTTCTTTTATGACGTTCGAGAACAACTCGTGTCTGAATCTCGCCTCGCACATCCTCTTCATAAGATCTGTCTATTGTGTCTATGCTGTCATGATATTAAATGTCAAACTGCGTTATTGGCACATGATTTTCGTCTCTTGATTGTTCACAGTCCATCCTTGTTTCCATAACTATAATTTAGCTATCTTTTCAATTCCTAAAAAGTAGAAATATTTTTAAATGATCAAAATTAATGTAAATGCTGAGTTACATAGTAAAACAGTTATACCATACGTATCTTTGATACAAAATATTTTTTAAAGCCACAAATATTCAGTTTGGGGTACACGAAACAGTATGCCAAGTATATGATATATCAAATGGGGAACATATTGGATAGTGCAACAAACCACAAATAAAGACAATTAAACAGCAGTGTAAAAACATAATCCGTATAGCCCTATTTGAAACAGAAACAAATGTGATGGCTTTGACACAGTGTTTTGTGCGCACAAACCGGCCGCCCCCTTGTCCATCTTGACCAAATAAACATTCTAATAAATATATGGAAAAATATTTATGTCAAAAATATGATAAAACAAGCAAACACAAAAGTTTTATACGCCATATTCCAACCTTTCCATTAAACGTATATTATCCATTTATAACGTATTGTATCAAATTTAGTATTATTTGTTTGGATTCTTATGTACAACTATTTATCAATAGTTCATTAAAATTACAATTGATGAAAAAGTACTACAAGCCTCAAAATTTAAGTTGCCCAGAGAATACATTTTATATCTGCAATATATCTATACTTAAAATATGACCACTTACATGGATGAGTAATTGTTTACAATTTTCAAATAACTGTACTGTTTGGTCATTGGATATTTTAGTAATCTGTTTAATTTCTGAACTTTTATTTGTTTTTCGTTTTTTGCTGTGGTGATGTTAGTTTGTCTTCAACTTTGGTATCTTCCGCCTCTCTGTTATAACAGTTCACTGTAACTTTTTGTGTGCATGTTATTACCTTCATTTAATGAAGGATTAAATCCATCTGTATTTAATCTACAAAAATACATTACAAAGAAAAATCAATTGGTTTTAGTGTCAAAGCTCCGATAATGCAGTAATGTTGCATTCAGTCCGAAACAACTTATCGACATTCGTTATGAACTTTTGTAATACTTTTTCGCACCAAAAAGATAATGTACCGCATATGATAACATATATCACTATATCTATTTGTCGTTTGAAAGGGGATAGTCGCCCTTTTACCAGTGCAATGACATCAGCTAAAATAATGTCACCATGCAATTATTTTCAATTGTTTATCAGACTTTTGCAAATATTGCTTTGCCTTCACTGGGGTTGGAACTCCCTCATTTAAGGCAAATAGCGTGTGGCATGAACATATTGACGAAACCTCTCATCTACCATTAATCGATGACTCCTGGTATCTTTTTAACAAATCATGTTTATCCATTGTATCTAAAACACAGAAACTACACATCGTAGATATAGTATTACGATAAAACTGGTTGAATATAAAAAAATCATGATACCGGAAAAGTAACAGCTTCTTCGAGCAAGTAAAGCTTTCAAACTATATCTTTTAGTTTAAGTCCTGGCATTTGAAAGAATCAAACAGGTCGCGGTAGGTAAATAAGGGTGTAATTTTGGGGTCTATCTCTGGTTTTTTTTTGTGTAAGGAGTTGTTTCATTTATGATTTTTCTTAACATAGTTTCCCTCTAGTTGCGAAAGAAGTAACTGAAGTACTTACTAAGGTAGATTTGGATCGCAAATTCAAGGTTAAACATAGCACGTATAGCACTTTATTCTAAAAAAAGATAACATCTTTGAAGATAATTGTATTCATTGCATGCTGCTCATTATCTATTTTTGCTTCTGAAAAAAAGGCAAACGCTAGTTGCATTACAGTTTCCATTGGAAATTGGTTTCCGTTCTCTAACTTTAGTTTGCCCCAACCAAATGTTATTAAACTTATACACAATGCGTATTACCACCAAACACAGATCAAGTTCGAATTTGGGTTGCGTCACTTTCACCGTTCTTGAATTTCCTCCTTACTGTATGTTATTGAACAATGAGAGTACTCAAAGCCCCGAGCAATCTCTAATGACAACATACAGAAACAAATGTCATTAAGTTTCAAAGTTTCAAAGAAAACAAAACGTAGATATGTTTGAATTATTTACAAGTTAGTACATATATATATGTGTCCCATAGACACATTCTTCTCTTATTTGAAGATGCAAAATTCACTGTCAAATACTCATGAATTTACTTCGTTATCTCCTTCTTTTTCAGGAAAATGCATATTCAAATAATCACACTTTGCGTAGGATATTTTATTACCTATGCATGTGCATCAGTTCCAATGGAAGTATCCAGTACATGGGGAAAGAATGGCAAATTAAAGTCGTCTGCGTTCTGCACATTTAATGTTACAGAAAAACAAAGAAAGGGTGCATGGAAAATGACAATAAATACCAATATTCCAACAAAATATATCAAGGTATGAATTAATTAAAGAGAGGCAAAAGATACCAAAAAGTAGTCAAACTCATAATTCGAAAACAAACTGACAATGCAATTGCAGAAAACGAAAAACGACGAAAAGAGAAACAACAGAACATAAAGAAAAAACATAGAAAACTAAAGTCTGAACATCACAGACCCAACAAAAAACCCGGGGAATAAGAGGGAAAAGGGGGGGGGTCTCAGCTCTGGAAGGGTAAGCAGATCCTGCTGTTTATTCAAAAGAGAATGATCAGAAGTATGACAGAAACATAAAGTATGACAGAAACATAAAAAATATACATTAATTCGGGTAATAAACTCAATTACAGAAAATGAGAGCAAAAAAAACACAAAACAAAAAAAGTGTAAGACCAATAAAAAAAACAAATTGCTGAAGAAATCACAATACCATTCTGAAATCTGAAATTTAACAATGCAACATACTAGTAAGTATGTCGATGTAACCCAGAGATATGCTAAAAATCAGTATAAATGCATGTACCAAGTCAGGAATATGTCAGTTGTTTTTCACTTGTTCCGTTGATTGTTAGCGTTCAATGTTGTAAGTTTTTATGGACTTCCCCTTTTATAATTTGCCTTGGAGTTCGGTGTTTTTGTTATACTTTTTCACAGTGGTCTTTTACCCTAATCTTGCTTTTTTTGTCATAAAACTTGAAAAACGAATACAGATTTATCACGATTAATCGAAACAAACATTCCTAATATCACATTGGTAACAAATTCTGCAAGATGACTTTTTCATTGAGGTGGACAGTTTTGATTCATTTTCTTATACAAAACGAGCAAGTAAATAAAAGTTCTGTATTGAAGAAGTCTTATTTGTAACAATAAAAAAAACAAAATATTTTTTATAATGACAAAATGTCTTCCAAGAAAGACGTGTACGTCTGTACGTCCTCTCCAAACATTTATTTATTCCATGTTTTGGAATGGAAACCATAAAAACCACTCATATTAAAGTAAAATTAGCAGGTACACATCGTCATGTCCTGTAAAAGAACCTGTACAAGTTTGGTGAACGACGCCGACACTAGACGCTATAAGGGGACAAATACACTTATGGTACGGATTTGAGTGCGCCCCTTTGGAAAATCTTTCATTAGGTTCGCTCGAGATAAAAAAAATAAACAAATTCCTTAAGCTTTTGCGAACACCAACACAAAAATAAGAGCAGTCATAAGTCAACGGTCGACCTTGTCTTTGTGTGTTAGAAAATTGCAATATTGGATTTGTTTAAACATACTGACTCTGTTTATACTGAAAATTTTAAGTTTAAAAAGTTCATGAAATTAAACATACAATGCAGATCAGGCGGTTTTTTTTACCAACGGATGTAACTAAAGATTCCCAAGACAGCCGTACCAACGCAGTGATAGATTTAGTACATGTAATATAAACGTATTGCTACCGTAACAAAACCTGTTTTTAGAATACCGTATTACACTTATCCAGGAACGCCCGCGACAGAAATAAATGCTATATATTTATCTATTTTTTTTTTTACAGTTGTTAAATATTGCAAGATACAAGTTAATTTTTATTATAGGTATGGGTAATGGAAGTCACTGACCGCCTTGATGACGGTAAAACATACAAAATGAGAAACAAGTATGAATATGGGCAGAAGACAATTGACGTACATTTTACACTTACATATAAAGAGGCAGACGTTCCAATTTCTGGTTTCTGTTCAAGCAGTGTCGAGGAAACAGCACCCTTGAAAGATGCCGGAAACATTATCAATGAAAATGACTGGGAGGAGAATGGGATGATGGTCATGCAAGGAAAATGTATCCTACCTGTTGAAAAGAAACTTGAAGATTTTTATATATCTGTTACTTTAAACGAGGAAACGTTCAAATTAAAGGTATGACTAGACTTCTTCAATTGTTATATAACTCATTATTCAATCAAATTCTCGTGTCTTACAGATGTAAGACGATTTTAAGGTGATGAAATACGTTAAATGTGCTCAAATTTTCTTCTTAGATACAATGTACTGAATGTTTTAGGTTATTGTAAAACCTGTATAAAATATGGCACGTTTTTTCCCCTTAATTCAGGACTGGAGCACAACCGAGTTTTCAAGAGACCCAAGTGGTCGTTGGTACACATTAAAGAACAAATGGACAGCGCATCCACCAGAATTTACTTTTATTTTCCACATTTATTACGATGCTGACAAACCTCCAACCGGAAGTTGTGCTATTTTGACAGGAAGTGAACCAAAACCACCTGTAACACAAGAACCACCTGTGTCACCTACAACAAGACAGACGATACAACCGACGACAACGCAGAAACAAGCAACACCAGTAATAACAAAGCAGAGTACACATTTGCCAACAACAGAAACGCACACGACACCAGTAACAACAAAAAGTCAGACATCACCGTCAACAACGAAAAGTCAGACATCACCGTCAACAACGAAAAGACAGACATCACCTTCAACAACGAAAAGTCAGACATCACCGTCAACAACGGAACGTAAAAAAACGCAACGAACAACCCAGCATCAAACCGTATCACCCACTACATCAAATGTACCAGCACCAACAAATCAACCAGGTAAATTTAACGATAAACAAATGACCAAAAGCAAGCGGCTCTTTCCATTTGCACAAATTGGCATTCTATTTGCCAAACAAACCATATTCCATTTGGGCCAAGGCAAAATCTTTCATTGAGTCAATGTAATAGAAGAGAAAGGATAAATTAATAAGGAATGACGTAGGTAAATAGCATGAATATTTTGATAATATATGTGTATTATTTAGCGTATATTATAATTGGTAATTAGCACTTTCACTCTCCAACATTGCATTTTACCTCTCGTCACCCATATAATATCGAGCAGGATAATTTCCTCAGTAAAGATCAACACGCAATATCTACAGCTTTGGTTTGTATCATTAAATCACACAAATGTGTGTCCCCATTTTTGTTTTTTCCTAGTCAGATTTTTTGTAAATAACGTTTTTTTCATTTTTTTTTCCCCGTGGATTTTTGATACAGGAGCCATAAGTACAGAAAAGGGAAAGTAAACAATAAATTAAGAAAATTAATGAGTAGTTTGACAATGTCACACTGAACGGATACCGAATATACTGTACTTATAATATGGGAGTTCATGTCACGGTGGTCAAGATATCCTGTTACCTGTCCTTTCAGATAACGGTATAAATTATTTAACATCTACAATTTTTCTTATCTTGTCATCCGTCAGTTAACTATGAGCATCATTATGGATCTAAAGATTATTATATTTATGTATGTAATTTCTCTAACTTCAGGAGCCACGCACCAGGGAATATTGAACTTGTACCATAACAAATTTAAAGGAGATGTAAGTATTTGAAAGTATTATATTTACTCTTTATCTAATGCATATATCCTATTTTATTCATTGTTTCACTCTTTGACATGTATATCTATATACATGTATTAATCCAAAATATGTAATTATTCTAACATACTAGTAGATACAAATATGTGCATGTACTTAAATGTAACGATATAATTGTTAAACTTGTCATTTTTATATAATTTATGTATTCAGGTTTTTGACTCACGGATAAAATAAGAATATATACTAGTTGAAGAAATGATACACTTATTTAAAGGTTTATCAAAATATAATGTTCTAGAAATGTAGAAACAGCAAAAATGTCTTGATTCAGTATTATTTTGCTCTAAAATAAAAACAGAACAGGCCATATGGGGACCTCCTTATTTCAACGTCATTTGGATTTAGGTGGTTTGTTATCTCATTGGCATTCATGATGATGGGAGTTTTTAACGACCTTGACTGGCTATACAGCCCTCGCACGGTCGGCTTAGATTGGCATTCATCTACATTGTACTTATTTTTATCCATCTACATTGTACTTATTTTTATACAACAGCCGTCACTGAAATTTGCAGTTTTCCTTTAAATAGGAGTCGTCAAATGAGAGAGTCGCCAATCTGGCAAAACCTCTTAAATTTAGAATTATATGTACAAGAAAACAAGGGGAATGACAAAGATGTTCTACTGTTAAGGTTAAAACCGATAGTTTAAGTCACGTGAAAATCTTCGTGATAATTTTGTTTAACCTAAGTCAAGCCGTCGTTTTAAATCACAGATATGAAGTAAGCCATAAAAAACGTCAAAATATTCGACGCCCACGATTTCACTATATCCTTATCAGGCTAGGGTTCCAGGATTTTTCAGAAAAGTACTAATAAACATTTTTCTTTCTGGGAAACTGCCAAATAATTGCGACCTTTTGAGTTAGATAGTTTATAATACGAGCAAGAGAATCATTCACTTCCATTGAATTCCTTTGAATATTTCTTTTAGCACACGGTTTTCCGATTCGATATTTTTGTTTTGATGTCACAACTAAAAGCCATGAAATGGTCCTTTTTACCTTTAAAGCGATAAAGATCCATCTGTCAATATGTCACATTTATCATCGATTCATTTTACATTCAAATAATTTTCCATTTTTATTTAAAAAACAAAGCAGTTTTTCGTGGAATTTTTTTTTGTAGACGATACTGCAATTTTCTCTAAACAAACACTGATCACATGAAACTTTATAGATTATTCTTAATGGCATAAAATTGGTCAATTATGTATCAGAGAAATCGGTAAAATAAATTTATGAACTAGCTGTCAGTAACTGCAAGTACTCTCAGATCTGTACTTGGTGTCTTTTTGTTGTGGGGATGTATAAGTACAATGTACCCATCCACGTCCATTCTGTGTTTTTGTTAGATGTAGTTCTATTTGTATCCATCTGATGAGTTAAGCCTTTTTCAACTGATTTTTATAGTTTGTTCTTATGTTGTACTGTTACACCACTGTCCAAGGTTAGGGGAAAGTTGGCGCCTTCAAACTCGTTTAACCCCGCCACATTCTGTATGTGCCTGTCCCAAGTCAGGAGCCTGTATTTCAGTGGTTGTCGTTTGTTGCTGTGTAACATATCTGTTTTTCGTTCATTACTTTGTACATAAATTAGGCCGTTAGTTTCTAGTTTGAATTGTATTACATTTGTCATTTCGGGGCCTTTTATAGCTGACTATATTGTATGAGCTTTGCTGATTGTTGAAGGCCATACGGTGACCTATAGTTGCTAATTTCTGTGTCATTTGGTCTCTTGTGGAGAGTTTGTCTCATTGGCAATCATTCCGCATCTTCTTTTTATATTTATGGTACCAGTTTCAGAGAGCACGTGACAATGAAATAATCCGTTATCAGGTACGCTCGAGATAAAAGTTCAGTAGGTCAAGGAAATACATAAAATGTCTGAAAGCTACAACATTAAATATAGCAAATCAAACCAGCCAAAATTGTATACGGCGGTGAACCGAATTTGCTCGAAGAAGTTACAACCTTAAGCTTTACCTTATGCAACACATTTAATTTGTAACTATGAACGGAATATTATCAATCAAGATATCAAGTTTAAATCATATCAGTAACCATATGCATAAACAATTAAACTTCTCAAATATCCCTTGATAAAAATGTCGATTTCAAATTAAAATAATTGGAAATTTAAATAATAAATGAATATGTTCTACTTTCAATCCTCTAAGAATCATGAATTATTACTTTTTTTTTATTGAAGTTTGAATAATTGATAACGGTTATGCAATAGTATTAATTAGTTCTTCCTAACATCAATGAAAGTAAGAGATAAAACAAACAAGAATAAACTATTACAATTAAATTGAAACGGTCTAAATATTGATTAATTTGCCACAGTCGCTTACACATTGCATTTAAAATACATATACATTTGAAATCTTACTATTTGAATAAGCTCTTGGTCGCTCCTTTTCTATATTGGTCTCCTAATTTTTGGTACGAAAAATCTAGTACGCAGTTGCAGAGCATTGACAACAGAAAATTCCAAAAAGTTTAAAAACATTAAATTTACAAAAAATTACTATAGCAATGACATTTCATGTCAACAAACAACTGCTGGCTACTGGGCTGGTGATACAATTGGAGAAGAAACGTCCATCAGCACAAGCATCGAGTCATGATAGATTGTAGGCGTATTATTTGGTATGCCAGACACGCTTTTCGCCTTCATAATTCTCATCAGTCGCGCTCGAATCAAAATGGTTTGAGGGTCAAATCAAGTTGGAAGCTGAAAAGCATTGACAATCAAATATTCCCAAAAGTAGTGCCAAATATGGCCTATGTCATATATAACGCAGATAAAAATCCACAGGGGTTCGAATATTCAACATTTAAAAAAAAATAGTAAATTTACAAACAAAAAATTCGCCACTCAATTTTTATTTCACAAACCAAGTGAAATTAAATGAAGAAATTGCACGAAGTAAAAATGGAATGAGAACGGGTGCGTCTACAGTAAGCGTTTATGTCAGTCGTTTCTACAACCGTCTTAGAATACTGACACCGGAAATATTATTAGTTACATAGTGTGCTAGTGACCTAATACGATATATATATAGGGTCAGTAAATTCCATATGGGGTGAGAGCGAATACGATATATATGGGGTCAGTAAATTCCATATGGGGTGAGAGCGAATACGATATATATGGGGTCAGTAAATTCCATATGGGGTGAGAGCGAAGCTCGAATCCCCATATGGAATTTACTGACTCCATTTATATCGTATTAGGTCACTAGCACACTATGTAACGAATTTATCTTAACGACTATCTTAACATGTGGTATTTAGACTAGTGGCCTATCAAAGTGATCAAGTCTTCAATAGCGTTAGTATTAAGAACCTACTTCCATTGGTCTATACAAAAACAAATGCCAACAATAACAACTTGTTAACTTTAAATGTGCTTTATGAATTTATTTCAATCATTCATCATATTCAATTTCTTCGTCTGTTAAAAACCTTTAAGATTTTTCCTCAACACCGTGTTGTTTTTATAAAGGGACGTAACACCACTACTAACCGTGTATTTAAATAAGCCCCGCCTACTAACCCAATATGGAACCCTACTAACCCAATATGGAACCCTACTAACCCAATATGGAATATACACGGTCTCCACGCGGTTGCTTTCAACCAATCATACTCCTAGAAATGTATAGGAGGTAAGATAAACAGATTTATTTCTCATGTAAATGTTTTTTAACTCTTTCAGGGCACTTATTATGGCGCTGGAGAACAAGGAACATGTAGTTACTCACCTCCAAGCCTGCCTCCAACAGTTGCAGCAGGAAACATAAGACGTTATATTGCATTGAATAGACCACAGTTTTTCAACTCATTGTCTTGTGGAATGTGCTTTAAGGTGATTCAAGTTACTTGTATAAAACCAGTTAAAAGAATTAAGTTAGTTTCATCCACTGTTCTAACACAAAGAAACCAGAGAATCGACTGTTGTGAGGAGGGTAGGGGTGTTCTTGTCAATATCAAAGTGGGGAGAGAACCATTTACCCAGCGTGTAGACCTTCTTATTGCTGTATTTCATGTTGATATTGTACATGATATACGCTCAGATCAAAAAGTTGTACCAAAAATGTATAAAAACAGATAAAAAAGTACTCTGCTGGTTTTATTTCATCACCTCACTACACATCGTTATATTATATTTAGCTTAACATGTCAAACGTTTTTCAAAACTCTTAACTTCTTAAGTAGCAAAATTGATAGCAAAAATCATAACAGATACAAATTTCATTGCATGTAAGTGAAATATTTTTACATTTGTATTTATGTAATGAAATACCAGTAAATCATTACGAATATACTTTTTCTAAGCAGCGTGATTATAGAGATATTACAATCATTTGTAGGTACACGGAAGTGGTAAAGGTTTAGGAAGTGACCCAATAATAGGAGATTCTATCGTGTTTGTGAAAGATTTATGCCCAGAATGTCTTGCTGGTAAGTACCTTGTACACAAAAATTGATTATTCACTTGTGGAGAAGGATCTGCTTACCCTTCTGAAGCACATGAGATCATCCCCGGAATTTGATGGGTTCGTGTTGCTCAATCTTAAGTTGTCTATGTTGTGTTTTGTGTACTGTTGTTCATCTTTACTTCGTTTTTCGTTTTTATTTGCCATGGCATTTCCAGTATGTTTTTGACTTATGAGTTTGAATTTCCCTTTGGTATCTTTCGCCTCTCTTTCTGAATAAGGCAAACAAAACTTATCTATATTTGTTTCCTGCCTCCCGGCTAGATATTTTGGAGAATTGTTCTGGATTTTAAAGATGACTAAACCAAAATGTCTAAACTATGACTGTGCATTACCAAAAATGTCAATAAAAAGTGTTAGGGGAGGCGTATAAATTGAGAGTAGGTTAGTGTAGCCAAGAAACAGAACTATATCTTATTTAGCTTAAGGAAAGTTAGTACAAAACCCCAACAATACTGTACGTCTCTATCAATTACAGATAATTATGAATTATCTCAAAAATGCTAAAAGTATATTTAGAGAGAAATTCCTTATTATATAAACCATTTTGCATGGATTTGTATGAGTGTTGTTAGTTAATATCTTACGATATAATACAACGGTCTAGTGCGAGTTATTGATGTTCATCGTTTTCTCTCGTTCACTTTAGAAATACTCTCCGATGTAAATACTCAATCAATTATAAATAAACTTGGGCCCAAAAATCCCTTACACATTCTGCTGTGCATTGGAATCCGATTACCCTTTGTTTCACGCATGTAATGACTCAGTTTAATCTCATGTTTTCTTAATTTTATTGATTTTAAAACTAAGTTATTGTACCAAATGAGAATGCCTTAATTTTGCACATAATTGTGAAATTTGAAAATAAAAGACTATTCACCAGTGTTGCCTCCCATCTCACGTTTATATGGTTTAATGCAGGTTTTCTATCTTATTATTTATCAAGGATCTGTAGATCTAGCAGAAAACGGAGATGGCAGGTGGGAAGTAGAAATACAAGCAGTTCAGTGTCCAGTAGGCAACACAAAATTGGAATACAAATTTCAGGGAAGTAATCCATGGTACCTAAAACTTCAAGTTAGGAATGCAAGGTAAGTATATCTTATCGTTAATTTCAAATGAACAGTTGGTAACACAAAACTGGAGAACAATTTCCAGGGTCACAATGGCGCTATGAATTGTAACTTTCCATTTCCATTTAGCAACATTCCATCGACGCCTGTTTATTGAGTGTATATTTCCCAGTTGATACGATATTTCAGGGCTAGAATTGTTTATCATGATGTCCAATGATGTTCAAAGGGTTGCTGTTTACGGGAAGGGGATATAATCGCTTTATCTTAAATCGCGAAATCAGCAAAAAATTAAAAAAAATTGTATGGCATATTTTGTCATCAACTAGTTATAAAAAGAAATGAAAGAGAAAAAAGAGGAAACAAACATATATGTACTGTTTGTATTGTACCGTCATATATTTGTGTTTGCTGGTTTATAAATAAATGGCTGAAGAAATAGCCAATAAGCTAATCTATGAATAGATCAGTTAAACATGTGATAATAGAAAAGGCGGCTTATGACGAATTATTTCTTGATTCATCAAAATCTCTTTACGCACTAGACAAAACCTCTATTCAACCATAAGTCTCAGTGAGGCGTACAACAAAAAGCAAAAGCTCACGTATCAATGCAAAAGTAAGACAGTTGCTAACACCGTTTTTTTTTAAATCTCATATTTTTCTCACAGAATTCCAGTCACTGGACTGTCACTATGGCAACCGAAAAGTCAAAGATGGGCTGCTATGCAGCACAGCTCAGACGGATTTTGGTTAATGGGTCCAGGTCATTTCGAGAAACCAGTCCATCCATCTGCTCAGGCTCCACTTAAAATGAAATTAACAGCTGCAAATGGCGTTGTAATAGAGGATCAAATTACTAAAATGCGTAAGTTGAAAAAAAAAGAACAAAAACAGAGTTCGTTTAATTTAATCCTGGTATCTATGATGAGTCTATTTAAAATTCATATCTAAAGTCTTACGCTATCATATCGAAGTGTTTGCGAAACAACTGTTAACGTAATGTTCATTTCTTAGAGATTTTTTTGTAAAAAAAAAAAAAGATAGATCACAAAAATTGTACAACGATTTCTTCTGAAGTATGTACAAGTCCATTCATTTACAAATAGCTAAAGAAACATGTATTTTTTATGCTTAAAGGACGTTCTTTACCAATAGACCTGCACAGGTTGTGATACAAATATATATGTACATTTGAGTATTTTGGGTTACTTTAACACGTGTTATCTGCAATACCTTTATTTTTACCTCAACGTAGGCAGTGGTGAAAAATATTATTGAACTGACATAAAGTATTGAAAACAGTTATTTTTCAAATATTAAACATATTTTGATTAAAAATAAATATAGAGCAATTTACTTACATAAAATAAAGCGGAATTTGAAAATATTAAATTAATTTGATGCACCAAATGCACTTTTCAAAAATGAATCAAATATTAAAATTCGAACGTACTTTACATTACAGTAAACTCGAAATAACACAAAAAGGCAAAGGAAAATCTGTGGAAAATTATTTATCTTAATCTAACGAAAACATCTTATTCTCCCCAAAATTTCACGGAAATCTGTAAATATTAATGCGAGTAGAACAGTTATTGTACTCGAGGGCTAGTGCAATATAATATTCTACTCGGGACAATATCAGTAATATTGGTGCAATAACCGCATGAATTTTCTGATATCAAATCGACACGCATCAAAATGGTGCTTAAAGGTATTCTTATTGACAGGTTTTTAAAGCTAGTGGATATTTTCAATTAAAAGCCGTCGAACATAGTACTTTAATATGGATATGCATAAGGCGAAGGAACCTATAAACATAAATCATGAAACATATAATTTGGATCGAAAATCAAATTATCACCACTTTTAATTATTCTAAAATTGGAATGATTGTAAAAACTTTTGAGTTTGACATTTGATGAATAGCTTAATTGCATGAAATCATAAACAATAATAATCTGTGTAAGTGATATGCTTTTTTTCTACGTCTTATCGTTTATAGCAATTAAGTTGCAAAAATAATAATCAAAAACTTCCCTTTTTAGTGAACGGGAAAAGTAATTGATTTTTAAGTACATTAATGCTGCTTTAAAAGCAAAACACAAAGTAATGTGCTGAAAAAAAATATGCACTAGGAAAACTGATATTCGAGAAAATAATCTCAAAATGATCAATGTTAGTGGAAAATAGTTAACATAAACAAAACCATTGTTTGTCATTTAATGTTATATATGCACACTTAATGTAATAAATGTAATTAAAGAGTATGAGAAAGTTATACTCATTTTTATATAATTGTATATCATATCCAACTATAGCAGTCATCACGTGACTTTGGTGACGTCACACATCACCCGTATAATGCCCCAGTAAAATATATAGAAATGCACAGGGGCTTTCAGGAATCGATAAAATAAATTACTTTAAGTTCATGATACAAAAAGTGTGGAAATATATATTAATTCTTCATATATGATTAATGATTAACGTTTAATTACAGAAACTGATAAATTAATAAAATTTCACATTTAAAATATAATTGTTTTTCGAAAGTTATTTGTTTGCAAAAGTATGAACATGTTAAAGTATTAGATATTAACTACTAACATTTTCATACGTGATTTGAAACAATAAGTAAAATTAAAACTGGATGTATTTTAAAAAGCAGAACTAACGAAATGTATGTTCTTTTCCAAACATCCAAGTAAGCGGAAAGACACTGTATATACCACAGTAATCTCTTGTGGGGATGTACTTACGATGTACTTGGACATTCAAAACTGGTTTAACCGCACCACATTTTGTTTTTGTACCAAGTCTGGTATTTTGTTTATATTTCGTTAGTTCTGCTTTTTAAAATACATCCAGTTTTAATTTTAAACTGTTTTGAACTGATAAATTAATAAAATTTCACATTTAAAATATAATTGTTTTTCGAAAGTTATTTGTTTGCAAAAGTATGAACATGTTAAAGTATTAAACATAATTCATTAAAACACATACCTAAAACTCTGGCTTAGTCTTTTATTTTCTTCTTGGAAGATTTGGGGGCAGGAAGGTTCATAGAAGTTCGTAGAATACCAACAAATTCTGGCTTAGTCTTTTATTTTCTTCTTGGAAGATTTGGGGCAGGAAGGTTCATAGAAGTTCGTAGAATACCAACAAATTTGGTTTGTCTATATTAACTATTTTCCACAAACATTTGTTTGTTTCAATGATAATGATTATATGAAATGTTATAACATTGATCCACAGATTGATTATATTTCTATTTTTTTCTTACAGCTAATGAAGTTGTTATTCATGGTACTGGTAAACAATTTCCACGGGACCCGTCTTTACCACAGGCTTAAACGGTTTATAATAATATGTAGAAATTGAATATAAATAAAGGTTCTCTGGTATACGATTTTTGTTTATGTTCAGATTTGTATTTCAAGTATTCGCTTTATAACCAATTATACATAAAAAGGATAACATGATATCCGAAGAAAATTTGACAGCAGGTCTCACTAAGTACCAACATCCTACTCCTAAAAATAAAAGTACAAACACCGAAAAACAACAACGAACAAGACATGGCCCAGAACCTGACTTGGTACAGAAACAAAATGTGGTGCGGTTAAACCAGTTTTGAATGTCCATTGCCTATTTACTGGTACACTTGTATATGTATTGAAAATTTTAAGCATATTTTATAGATAAATAAAATTGAGAATGGAAATGGGGAATGTGTCAAAGAGACAACAACCCGACCATAGAGCAGACAACAGCCGAAGGCCACCAATGGGTCTTCAATACAGCGAGAAACTCCCGCTGTTACATAAACCCAAAGTCATACAATCACTAAGATCTGTTTTCAGAACTATGATAGAATTGAATAAAACTAGGTGAAATGGCTTCAATTTGTAAATTGTTCATTCAAGTCTTCATGTTCTTATGCACTATCATATGTGCTGTTGAATTCAGAAACATGATGACTCACGTAAGAAAATATGTATGGCAAAGTTCAGGTACAAAGTTGTTTTTGCTGTGCATAAATATAAACTATGTAGATTACATCGGAGTGCACGTTTCAAATGTGGCCTACATTTCCTACTTGAATGACAAACAAGTCCTAAATATGTTCAAGTTTGTTTGTGACATCAGTTACTGTCTGGTGAATTTTTATTGTACATATTTGAATAAAACTGTATCAAAAATAAAATAAAAAGAAAAGTAGTTATCTAATTATAGCTAGCCTGTCAACACTGGGGTTATGAGTTCGAGCCCCGCACATGACAGGTGCGTTCGATTCCAATCTTTATCAACTAGGATTCTAGTTTTCCTATTGAAGGTCGGTGGTTGTCTCCGGACACTCAGCTTCATCCAACAATAAAAACTGGCCGCAACGATATAGCCAATAGTGCAGAAAATTGCGTTAAGCACCAACATTTGATCAATCAATCAGGCAATCAATCACGAACCAACCCAGGGCAGTAGTACAACAACATAACTCTACACAAATAGAAAATAATTGAAAAGGGACCATTAGATCGGTACTAAAAACAAAAACAACTGAAACAATGACTAAGATTTTAAATGTTCCAATCTAGGAGTAGTCGCAATAATTGAAAGATAATTCGAAGTTCAATTAAAAAAAAAGGTGATAAATAGACCTTTTTTTCCCAGACAGATATATCAATATTCATATTATTCCTTATTTATCGTCATTTGAACGTTAAACCCATTATTAACAGTTTTTCTATTTTCATATAAAAGCACTATTGTACTCACTCGTAAGTAAATATTGTTCCATTTACTTTTGTGTTAAAGCAATTAAAATTCGTAACTGTTGAGTAAAACAAAAGTTAATAGATACCTAATGATGCAACAATGGCTTATCCTTACAAACCATTAATCAAATATCAATTTGATATTTGGAGATGAATAAAATTGCTAAATGGCCATTAACAAAACAACTAGACGGTTTACATAATCATCACATGATGGATGAATAATGCAATCCGGTACTAATGTCACGAAGTAGGACGAATTAGTTTACATAATTCTTTAAAATTCATTCACAACATGTCTGAACCGAACTTTGATTTTGTTTTGACTTGGTTTTGGTGCTAGCTCGACATTGATGACCGTTTGGTGACATATTTATTTCTGTATTTGTTTGTTTTTCATGTTGACATACAGCCATGTATTCTTTGATTATTTTTTTCGTAATTAGTTTTCCGATCTGTTGTTATAGTGTACCGCTAAATTTAAGTTGTCTACCTAGGAACAATCATTTGAGTTCCCTTGACATTCGGAACGACTCCGAATGTTCTTTAAAATGGCCTTCATGTAGGACTCAGAACAAGTTCGGGCAGTTATACCTAAGAACATATGGACATTTCTAAGGTAGAACTGTTATATAATAGAATTGTTCTTATACAGATAAGAATAGTTCTATGACAGATTACAGTTCTGAAGATGGGTTATAACTGACCCAAATGTATTTGTACACTCATATCTGCTTATTCATAATTATTAACTATAGGACAATTCTGATGCTTCCGAAGTTTCATGAGATCATGCCAATAACAATTTATTTGTGTGACACTTTCGCAGAGTAAACAATATCATATACCTTTTTTTACGATTACATATACCTATCTACATCCTCCTCCTAAATAAACAAAACCGTAAACAAACAAACAACAAGCAAACAAACACAGTATCAAACAAAATTAAACATTCATAACTAGAACAATAAGGTAATAGTGTCAAAACTTCTATGGATATTGCACATCATGTTTTTTTCTGCACTGTTCTATCGCTGCTTATATAACATTAAGAAGATACGGTATGATTGCCAACGAGACAACTATCCTCCGAAGACCAAAAGAAAAGGGTGTAAACAACTATATATCATGGTAAGACATTCAACAATTATCAAAACCAATAACGTATAGTAAGCTTCAAATTGAGAAAACTTAGTCCTTTGCAAAAAGCAACCAATGCCAACCACTTGACTACTGTTTCCTAGGACAGGCGCATAAAATATAAGCTTGCTTTTAGCTCTTCATGACCATCTTAATACTGGGGTTGGACCGAAGATTAATTCGTATTAGTTCATAAATTTTCATCAGTTTTATTTTTGTCCCACCTCAAAATCATTACGTTTTCCTTAGGACTAAAAGAAACAATTTAAAAAAAGCATTTTTTATTCTTTTTGTTATGATTTTTTTTTGGATTCTGTTGTTTTTACAAGCATTGCAGGTATAACTTAAGACAAACACTTCCTTGGTTCCTAATTTATTGTGATATCTTCTCCCCTTTTTGCATGTCTAGTGGTAAATATTTCATGAATATTCACGAGAGTACAATTTAACAATCAAAATAAAATGATGAAAAGGGACAAAAACTTTGTCTAGTGAAATCTATCGAATCCATCAAAGAGTTTTTTTCAAAGGTCTTTAATTTGCAGAGAGTTTGGCATTGTTATGTATGGCGAATCATGGCTATCTTTATACTGATTTGACCGAAGAATAATCAGAGGCGGTATGATTGCTGATGAGACAACTAATCATAGACAAAAGGACAAAGTGTGAACAATTGAAGGTCTTAAACAATAGACGAGACTCATACGGCCATATCGTGTAGTAGTTTATGCCCGTATGACAAAATTGTAAACAAACACAAAGGAGAGAACTAACGGATTGATTTGTTCAGCAATAAACGAAAAACAAACATGACAGAAAGCTTCCACTGAATTACAGGTTCCTGGTTTGGGAAGACTCTATCAAGTCATCACGTAAACAGAGTGATATAAATGAACATAGAAAATAGCTTGAACATTCTACAATAAGGATCTCCCCTTAATACATTTATATGTGCGCCAGTAACTATTTTTCGTGCATAATTTTACTTTAACATAAATACATTTGATCACAAAGTCACGTACGCGAAAAACTGATAGCATCGTGCATTTCTAGATTATAGTAGATAACATAAAAAATAACCACAATTTTGTCTCGAATGACGTGCTTTTATCATATTATTCTTTACCCATTGTCGAATGAAAATTAGATATCGGTATGTTTGTTTGTTTTAAGATAAAAGACTATTGTTATCTTTAATAACTAAATATGGTGGCATTTAATTAAATGTTTACTCGCGTTTGTTATAAAACTATTAAATTTCTGATTACCCATTAATGGGTTATAATAACAATACCATGTTCATTAGTTGGGATGCAAAATATGTTAGAATAAATAAATATTAGCTGAACAATTATAGATGTTTTGTTTTCACGTTATCGTCACATGATGAGAGCAGCACAATAAACTGGATTCTGTTATCAAAATTAAGGACTCTTGAAAGGATGTCTTTTCAGCTTAAAGCAGAGTTGTTCGTCAGTTTGCAAAGAATTCCGCTCAAACCGGTGCTAGGGACCGTCTTAAACTTGCAGCGAGGTTTTTTTTTGCTCCGTGTTGAAGGCCTCACTGTTACTTTGAGATAAAGAACAACAATAAAAGCGCTGTTCCTTTGCTTTTTGTATTTTTTACTGTGCACATACTGATGTTTTGTCATGGATGGATACCCAATATACTTTCTTTTCAATTGAAAATAACAAATCGTGCTTTAGTCGTACGTTGAGTTATTGTTGCTAACATTTACGCCATTTGGTCTCTCTGGTGGATAGTTGTTTCATTGGCATCATACCACATCTTATTTTTATACTAACACAGAGGCGAGGTGTATTGATAAATCAGTGTTTATATACAGTAACTAGTACTGGTTACTATGGGTAGTAATTTATTTCCAGAACATACATAAAAATATACTAGAATTGACACAAATTTTGGTCGATACAACAGACACACCAACCACAAACACCCGACAACCCGACTGCTCAGAGAAAATAGACATACAGATAAAGAAATGCAATAACGAAAAACTAAAAATAACAAAACTCCAAACAATCGAACACCCTTAAAAACTGCTATATAAAACAAACAAACAAATAAATAAACATATACTCAAACAAATTAAACACCCATAACTAAAACAATAAAGTGATGGTGTCAAAACTTCTTTGTGTATTTCACATACTCATGTTTTTTTTCTGCATTGTTCATGCTTCTGCTATATGAATGTAATTGGATGTATATAACATACATAAGAGTGTAAGAGGGCATGATTAAGTTACTTGATATACAATTAAGAAGATATGGTATGATTGCCAACGAGACAACTAAACACCGAAGACCAAATGAAAAGGGTGTAATCAACTATATATCACGGTACAACATTCAACAATAATCAAAAGACATACCGTATAGTAAGCTTCAAAACGCGTCTGGATAACAAAACGATAAACATAGTATAGTCCTTAGAAAAAAACACCAGGACAAACACTTTACTA